AGAAAATGACATGTTGATGTAGACCACCAGCAGTCTCACTTTTTCTTTAGATCTAGTGAGGGGAGTGCACGCGCGTGCGAGCGGCGAGCGGTGAAGCCACGAGACGCGAGAAATGAGGCCGGCAGCCTTACACAGAGACTGATCGTTGTCTATGTTCATGTGTCGAAAATGAATAATATAAATCAGGAAGACGGGAAGTTACAATGGATCCAATTCACGACTCAAGGTGCAAGCTGGTCCTTACAGGTAATTTCATTATTAAAGTTCTATCAAATTATATTTGATGTTTGGATCCAGCTAACGTAAGGAAATTCGAAAGAACGTTTCTCAACAGTATTTTGAGAAGAAAGCATAAATCAAAGGGAATTTACCGAGCAATCTAAGTAAAATACTCAAGCTCCTTACACAAAACCAACTAGCCTGTGTACTTACGTCTGCTGTATAATGTACAAACCCTGCGTTAAAAGGGTGAAGGACTTATCTCAAAGAAATATAGTGACTGACTGGTTAAAATTGACAGTACCCCTTTGTGTCCAGAATTTGATGTGTTTCTCTCCAACGGACACAAGGTAATTTGGATCGAATGGATTCCACTCAATAACAAAGATCATGTCTTTATGACCACGAGTTGAAACCATTTTTTCCTCCTTCTTCCAGTCCCAAATACAAATACTGTGGTCATCGTCAAGACCAACATCTGCCAATTTCTTTCCATCACCTATGGTAATTCAAAGTTGAAAGAAAAGTGAACTTGAGTAAATATAATATAGTTGGTCACATGATCATTTTCCTGTTAACACAAAAACAGCTCATTTTGGAAAAATGGTTTTAGCAGGAACGAAAAAAGCATATAAAAATAAGACAACATGTAAATTTTCAGCCAGGTATTTTTAAGTACTAGCAATTGCAACGGCCACCAAAACTGTAGAAGGATTTGCATGGAAAAAACAATATTCTCGCCAGCCAGTCACAGTCGACTGGTTTGCTTGCAAATCCTTGTAAATTTTAAAATTTTCCAGCTATCATTAATTTTTTTTCTCTGACTACAGGCCTCAAGTTTTCTTTTGTTCATAACAGAAAATTTGAGCATCCTAACGTGTAAGGGAAAGATTTTATGACATTAGCAGAGCTGTAAAAAATTTTTTTGCATATATCATTTTTTTATTTCAGAATACGATTAACTGAGAATAAAAATTAGCAATAGCAATGAATGACGTTTCGATGACTCCATGTCATCATTTTCAAATTAGGGTGTGTTAATTACTAACACACCCTAAAAGATCCAACTCAAGCAAAGCATTGTTTTTCAGTTAGTGTACACTGTATGTTACAAAAACAAAAACAAAATGTAAATGAAGATCACATGCTCCGTTCTTTTGGGGGGGGGGTGGGGGGAGAGTGGGGGGAGAGTGGGGTTTGAAGGATCCAGCCCTTGAATTATGGCTATCATTAGTAAACCAGCAGAGGGATGATGGCCAGGAGGTTAACATATCAAACTTCAGATCCCTAGCAACCGGGTTTATTACAGTCTTGTCATCTTGTTTTTCCATAGAAAACCTTTTTCCACTTTGCCTCTTTTGAACACACACATGTACATGCATAAATAGGTATTTAAGAAAAGACACCCTTCAGCAACGTACCAGACAACAGTTGGAAATGAGGCCTCTTTCCTTTCAATACGCATTGACACTACCAAATTTGTAATTGCTAAGAGTTTTTTCTCTTATACAGCTGACCTCACTGCTGTAAAGACAATTTAACCAACAATTTTGGTGAAACTACTGCCCAAGAAATATGCAAATTCCACTTCTGGTTAATGTGAGTCGCTCAAAAACGTCTTTGCTTAAGCTCACTAATACCAGATACTGCCCAGGGTAACCCTGTGATAGACCTGCATCACATCTAGGGGGGATCATCACTTATACCCAGACATGCTCTGTGTTATGCAAACAGGGATGAACCCCAACCAAGTGGGTCTTATGGCTCATGTGCACCTACAAGGTAGACCAGTAAATACCTGAGAAGTCCACACATATTATGCCTCGCTTGTGAAAGCCCTTAAGAACAGAAACAGTTCTCATTGTAGTAGCATCCCACACATGAGTCTCTGCTTGTTTGCCCACCTGGAGACAAATCAGACAGTCTTTGTCTAATTACAAAGTAACACAATTTATTTACACGGAATATTCAAATTCAGAAATAGTACTGAGTTTCAAAGGGACCGAAGAAGCTGTAGTACTGTATGGTAAACATTTAGTAGTCAAAAACATAAGCGCTCAAGATTACAAAAAAAAACTTTCTCTATTGTACTCTTGCAGCTAGTTGCACACCCAGGTCACAACATAGAGCAGCATAAGCTGCTGCAAAAAGGACTTTTGGGTTGTGGCTTTACTACCAAAAATTGTGCATGATACACAAATAATTCTGGTAAACCCCAAAGCTATTTTTAATCTTTAATTGATGGGCCATATTTGTCAGCATTCTGGGGATTTTTGTTTTTCTGGTTTAAAAGATCACATTCAACAATCTCATCTACAGTTGTACGTAAGTTTAAGGGCATTGATAGTTGAAGATTCTCTATATTCAATTACAGTTTTGCAGAAAAACTGCTACGTCTACTAGTCTTTCACCATCTAGCTACCTAGTTATACCCAAATAGCCTTGAATTTACCTTTCATATTGCTACAAATACCAAAATATACAGTAACAATAATTATTCATATCATAGTTTGCAGACAGCCGTTACTCTTCATTACATTTTTTTATGGTCAAAACAGAAACTCCTACAGTGTGACCAACAGAATATGATGCGATGTGAAGTATATATGAAATAATTCATTTTTGACAGCAGTTGTAGATGAAAGTGAAGAATGATCATCGCAGTAAATTTTCCAATTTAAGCAATTGGAAAGAAGAAGCCTCAAAAAATCAGGGCTTCAACGGGATTCCAACCTGTGACCTCCGCGTTACCGGTGCGTTGCTCTACCAACTGAGCTATGAAGCCACACGTTGGGAGCGAGATCAATTTATTGAGTTCATATCTCCCATGAGGAGTGAAATGATGTGAAGTATATATGAAATAATTCATTTTTGAACTGCCGTTGTAGATGAAAGTGAAGAATGTGAAGAATATATATGATGTCCGGAACTTCTTTTCACAGCCACTTTTTCTATTCTACAACTCACCTGTCCTGTGGCCACAAGGTCCTGGTCATCATGAATGGTGAGGCAGAGAATATCATCAGTGTGTCCTTTGTAAAATCTCTGCTGATGACTGGGTGGACTGTAGACTATTCCAAGCGCTGCCACATGGAACACTATCTCATTAGATTGGGTGTAGAATAAATTGTTACAGACATTGTAACCATGGTACCTAAAGAAGGGAACATTATAGGCATCTATGAAGGAACAATGTACAGCAGATGTGTCTAAGTGTTGTAATGATTACTTCCTATTAGTTCTAGACCACAGGAACAAGGATTGCCACAGTTGATTAGTATACAACCTTCATGTACAGGACTTCAGTCTGTGCGAGAACTCCCGAGTTCAAATCTAATTCCCAGCTATGACCGCACATCCTTGCTTTGAGAACTTACTGCACATCAATAATAAATTATTAAATACTTTACACTGCACATGTTTTGACATAATTTTTAGAAAAGTTTGTGTGTAAAATCTCAAGAGAAGTAGGTTCTTTATTCTCCTTGTTTACATTATTTTTAATTCTCTAATTACAAGTATTTCTTGTGATTTCACTTCATTGGCAGAGTACACAGTAACATAAAAGTGTGAGAATCCTTAAAGAGAATTACCCAAAAGCAAACTTGAGATCCAGTCCCTCGTTAGTTCCCCTCTTTCCACGGGTTGGGCTGACTGAGCGTGGCCGTTCCTCAATCTCTACCTCTTCCCTTTTAACAGACTTTGATGATCTTGAGAACCTTTAAACAGTACATGTATCAAAATATCATACAAACAAGACCTTTCAAATCAGGATCACTTGTCAGAGTTCAAACTCACAGTGAAAACCCTAATACCTATACTGAGTTGCATATGGTAGTAAGAAAGAGGATGCTGGTAAGCTGCAATTTACAGTATATTATTATATAGACATGAGTGTTTTACTGGAAAATATACCACTCGTAAAATTCATAAAATCTTCATCCGGAACTAGCCTGCGAAAACATCTGTTTCTCCTCGCTCTTCGCCGCTAGGGACGTTTCGCGCGGAGGAACGTCTGCGACTCAGCGACAGAAATTCCATACTGATGACGTAAAATCTGTCCAGAATCCGGTCAGAAGTGCTGACTGGTCGACGGAGTAGTTACATTGTTTAAGCTATTGTTTACAAATGACAGACAAAAGATAAAAGGCCACAAAGGTCAAATGTAAACACAAAGAATCTCTAACAAAACAGTCAATATTTGTGGAGTATAGTCTTCTCTAGAAGAAGCATTTGAGTTTTGCTGGAGCTCGTTGGCAGATAAGCAAAAAACACTTTACCAAAATCGACCAGAAGACACGTAAAATTAGACAGATTTATATTTGGAACCCCATGACTACCGGATTTATTATGTAAACATTGATTTGCGTCATCAGTATGGAATTTCTGTCGCTGAGTCGCAGACGTTCCTCCACGCGAAATGTCCCCAGCGGCGAAGAGCGAGGAGAAACGGATGTTTTCGCAGGCTACATCCGGAACCCGAGTGGTTTATTTTCCATATTCTCACATGTGAGTTTATCGATGACATAATTTCGGTAATTTCCCTCCAAAATTTGCAGGCGTCTTGCGTCCTTTGAATTTTAATCACACATTTTTCAAAGCTTTGCTTATATTTTGTCATTGTAGAGCTTTATTCAGCTCAGTGTTATTTCTCAAGATTATTGGAAACAATGTCTTATATTGCTGTACTGTAAATTTGAGCCGTCACAATTACTTTTTGGCAAATAAGAACCTATTATTTTATCAATGTCTTTTTGTCTATATAATAAAAAGAACATTACATGGCGGCTTGAAGAGATGAATTTTATTTCCTCATGGCAAAAACAATATTTTACTCACTCGCTGCACTCGTTCGTAAAATATTGTATCATATCTTCGCGCCACCGTGTAATATCCTCTATTTATTATCATACTTTACCAAGAGCACTGCTTTGAAGTCTTTGATACTTCTTCTTTAGGTTTCAGCGGACAAGAGTTTTGGTCATGTGCTAGAGACAAACAAGCTTTACAGAGGATAGCTCTCCTTGCATCTCGGGATGAAGCCATTATCCATAAGTTTTCA